AGTTGTACAAATTAAGAGGAGGGTTCGTAGCCCGTCTGTAAATACGACGTCATCATCAGCCGCAGTTCGCGAAAAGTCGTCTTTATTGGTTCGAGCTAGTTTCGGTATCAATTTCTCCGTTTTCTTTGCTTTCTTCTTTCTCTAGACCTTGCCAAGGCCTTATATACATGCATGTCTATCTAATAAGAAGGTTTTTATTTATTTTTATTTTTGTTTATTTTTTGTTCATTTTTTTGGTTTGGGTTCTATTTGGTTGTGAACTTTATACTTGTCGTGATATATATTTGAAGAAGTTAATGTTACCGGTTGTAGTTTCTTTGTTCTCTTACATAATGCCGCGGCTGGAAAAAGATCCACCCTGTCATTAGGGTGAGTCGACTCCCACGCACTCTTAACTAACATTTTTCACATTATATAATGGATATTTTATTTAATACACACCCCCATCTAATTTATTTAATTTTGCTCATTTAATACTTAATTTTCATCCCAAGATTAGCCTAATTTCCAACTCCTTCAAACTCCAATTCAAATCCAATTTCATGATTTACACCCCAATTTAGCCTAATTTCACCAAATAACTAATTTTGACCACCGCCGAAGACCCGGGTCTTCGCCAATGCCTTTTTTTGTTTTGAAAACTTGTTTTCGAATTATTTTCCGATAGGTTGACCGCCGGTCACCGTCGTTGACTTTTTTTAAACCTTTTTATTTCTTAAAAAAAAATTATTTTCATTAATATTACTGTTTTGGCCGCAATATTACTGTCTCGGAGATAGTAATATTACTGGCCTCAGACCGTAATTTAACTGTATTAATTAATTTTATCGTCTTAGCTTGCAATTTTGTTGTTTTTTACCGTAATATTACTGTCTCCGACCGTAATATTACGATTTTGACATTCAATATTACTATCTCGGCCAATAATTTTGTTGTTAACACAATAATTTAGAGAGAAACATTATTAAAAAAAAAAAGCCCAGCGGCGGAGACCGTTTGGAAAAAAATATTCAAATTTTTTAAAAAAGAAAAATTAAATAAATAAAAAAGTTCAACGTTTGTGAACTGCGCAGTCAATGCCAGAATCTGGCCGGAAAAAAATTCTGAAAAACGGTATTTTCTAAAAGCAAAATACTTTTTCAAAAAATTATGAAAGCTTGGACTTAATGTGATATCTTTGTTCAAATCGGGGTCAATGTGCAATATGGATAAAGTTATAGTATAATTGGTGAAGTTGATGAAAATTATATTATGGGGAACAAAAGACATGGGGATGGATTTATTTGCGAGACTTTTTGTATCTGGACCTATATGCATTTAAATCACTTGTCATACGCCTGTTTTCCATTTGCCCATTATAATTTAGATTATCTATTAAAAATCTTAAAAGTCTATATATATATTATATTAGGGGCCATTTGATATACAACCTTAATATGGAAAATATATACGGCTATGAAATAATAACTGCTATACTAGGACATGAATACAACATCAACAAACATGCACTAAACAATATGCAAAAACATACATGCACAAAGCAATGCACAAATGTACTTGCGCAAAAGTGAACTGCGCGAGTACATTGCACGGGTATAATTTCCTTCTTGTTTAAGGATGGCAAAAAATCCGATCGTTAGCTAACCATGGGTATCCGCCCCGTTTAAAATTCGTTACCGAAACCATTAGAGTTTGGTAATAGTTTCGGTAAAAGAAATACAGACCTTAACACCGATTGATCTAAGTCTGAAAATTACTAAAAAGTCACCCCTCCCAGTTTAAATAATTATTCAGAAAAAAAAAAAAAAAAAAAAAACTGTGGCTGGCGTTGTGGAATATGTTTTCTCGTTGTCTTGAATTTTTTATTATTATGTTTTTTTTTTCATTTTTTGTTTTTTTAATAATTATTTAAACCGGGAGAGGTGGCGTTTTGGTTATTTCAAAGTTTAGACCAAATGGTGTTAAGGTCAAATGTCTGACAACTAACAGCCAGGGCAACACTGAGAGAAAATTTCAAGTGCGGGGGGCAAATCGATGCAATCAATAGTAGAATGGGGTAAAGTGATATCGAGCCAAAGTACAAAATGGGGAAAGTGAAATTTACCCTTTAATATATCATCTTTTTGTTGTTGTGGAACTTCAATTTTGATGAAACGTCTTATTTCATTTTATATATTTCGCTTAAAGTTATTCTAATAACCTAATTTAAGTGGTAAATGGATACATGTGAGTATTCGGATATTGGTGGTAATGATTCTGATATTTCGATTAAATTTTTAAATAGATTTGACATGGTATTGATTTGAGATAAATTAAATGGTAATGGTTCTGGTATTTCACTTTTTCGAGGCTATCCACTCTGTTGCCATTCCTTAGAGTTTGTTTTCGTGATGTATCTATAACTATAAAAGGGACTATTACTGATAACTCACTCTAGCTTTTTTTTTAATAAGAGTGGATCCTCCCTTGTTTTCAATATTAGTACTAGGTCCAGTTTTTCTTATATTCGAAATTTGTCCATCTCCACTAGTCAATTCCCACGACCCACTACTCATTACTTCATTCCTTTTTATATTTATATAAATATTGTTTTTTTCCCCTTTTTTATTTACTAAATTATTAAAAAATAATATTTTTTTTTAAATTTAATAAAAAGTAACTTTTGTATCTTTTTTTCCAGCCTTTTTTCCTTTTTCTTCTTTTTCATAATTCAACTAAAAAAATTCTAAAATAAACTAATTTTTTTAAACATTTTAATTAATTTTGAGTATTTTTTATTTGTAATTTATTTTTGTTTTATTTCCATAATCAACTACAAAAATTTCTCAATCAACTACAATTTTCATTTTGTTAGTTTTTTTTCACAATCAACTATAAAATTATGGTATGCAAGGTTTACCAGTTTGAAATCAATTATTATCAAAATTAACTATAAATTGTCGAAATCACTATAACATTATTGAAACTAACTACAAACATGTCGAAATCGATTACAAAATTATCAAAACCAACTATAAATTATCTAAACCAACTAAAACAAATAGCAGAATTTGAAACCAACTAAAACAAATAGCAGAAATCGAAAACAAATAGCAGAATTTGAAATCAACTAAAATAAATAGCAGAATTCGAAAACAAGTAAAAAAGTGACGAAAACAACTATTTTTTCGTGCGAGATACCTACACAATTTCAACAGCAAAAAAAAGAAGAAAAAAAAAAGAAGCAAAAAGATGGCAACACTAGGACATAGATGACTGCGGCGTGGATAAGCCTCGCTAATGGCGTATAATAAAAAAATTAATGATTAAATCGGAAACCTTGGTATCTATAATGTAACCGACAAAACTTTGGTAGATCTAGGGCCGGATCAATAGAGCGCGGAGGCGGCGATTCTCCATGAAGATGCAGTCCAAGGTTTCTGCATCCTCATCGGGGTCGATTGATTCCATCATCAAGCAACTCCAACGGTGGTGGCTGGGGCCCTAGAGTCACGGCAAGTGGAGGCGGGATCGCGGCGGGGAGGGGCAGGGCAGCGGTGGTGGCTGAGGCACAGAGCGGGGCGGACAAACGAACTATGACGAAAGAAATGGGGAAGAACGGTTGGTGGAGGAAAAAAACGCGGGAGAATAAAAATAGGGTTTCACGTAGTTAGAGATTTTAAATATAAAAGATATGATGGCAAATTAGGTTTATTGAGTATTAATTTATTAAATATTTATTTAATTAAATAATTAAAGGGGATTTCACTAATATGTAAAAGGAGGTGAGATTCATTTTTATTATACTCAATGAGTGAGCGGGTTTTCACTAATTGTCCCTATAAATAGCAAAACATAAGTAACTTGAGAGCAAAACATTTTAAACAGAAGCCTCTCACTTGGAAAATTGTTTGGGAAACTGTCGGCAAGTCTTTGAAATAGCCGTTAGACATCTCTCCAAAAAATTGATGTCACTTTTCATGTCTTCATTGAAGACTTGAATTTTCCTACCCCACCATTAATTATGCAAACTCACTCACATTTGCTTATCTATATTCGGATTTGGATTAGATCAGATTAGATTAGATTAAATTAAATCTTTAATTATAATTAAATTATTATTTAGTTAATAATATTTTTGATTCTTTAGATTATTTTTTGATTAAATTTGTTAGATTTTGGTATTATATGAGAATTTTATATATGCCTTCACATCCAAAAGACACGTTCTTGATTTCATTAATATAATCATACTCCGACATGATAAAGATAAATATTACCAAAAGGCAGCTAAGCTCTTACACAACATCAGACTTCAATGAAATTAAAAAGTAGGGTAAATTACGGTCACAATTCCGAAAAAACTCTTACGTGGTCAAATTACAGAAAAAATCCCTCTTGTTTGGGTAATTATAATTATTCATCAACTATGAATTTTCTTATACGTTCACCTTTATGTTGTCAAATTTAACATAATCTTTTAGATTCAGTGGAATATCTCCAGTTTATATTCGTTTTGTGCAAAAAATGCAGTTTCTACAAGTCAATAAACGCATCATGTGTTCTTCTTGTTTCAAAATGTGGAGTTCGAATGGGATAAAACTTAAGAATATTTCATATAATCTAAAAGATTCCAGTAAATTTGACACCGCAAGGATGAACATGTGAGAAGATTCATAGTTGAAGGTAATTGTAATTACCTACACACGAAAGATTTTTATTTTTTATTTACCCTTAAATAAATAATAATCTTAGAATAGTTACATATCAATATAAATCAAACATATCAGACAACATGTGACAGCTGCACCATCTCTTTATTATTCTTCTTTTTTTGTCTACAAATCTTTTGTGTTCCATCTGAGAATTTATTCCCTCAAAGTTGATTTTCATTTTCTTTGTGAGTCTTGATTATCACAAAAGTTAGCCCTTGATAATCAAAATTAAAAAAATTAAAACCCTCAGAAAAAGAGGATTAATTAGTATATATATATATATAAATCATTATCCCATCTACCTCATACCATAGCTCTGCATCATGAAAAATCGAGCGATAATTTCATGGGCGCTCTTGCTGATGATTATGGCCATTGCTTTCGTCGTTAAAGGAGGTAGTTAAATTTTTTTCGTTATAACTGCTATATATTTTGTTTTGACTATATATAAATATATATATTTTCGAAATGCAGCGTAATTTTATTTCGTTTATGATGATGTATTAGATCATATGAACTTTATTCACGAAGACCATAGTAAAGTAAGTGGAGAAGGCGAGCAGCAGCAGAAAAGAATTGTTGTTGTTGTTCATCAGAAAAGAGGAGCTTCTGCCGGAAACTCCGATATTTCGAAGAAGCCCCCGAACCGAAGTGGATCGACTATTATTAATAATAATTTGACATCAACTTCTTTTTTTCTAGTTATCTTTTTCTCTTTCTCTCTGTGTGTGTTTCAGTGTGTGTATGGTTATTAGTTCCTTCTGTATCACTAGGTTGAATTTGTGGATCACTTTTCAATCTAAAGTGTATGTGTAACTTTTATTTCGGTCACTAGTTAATGAAATTTTTGCAGGTTTCCGAGTTTTTTTGCTTCTTTCGTTTTCGCAAAATGTTTGTGTAGTGTTTTCTTGGCTGTGGCACATTATTTGGATCTGATTTCATTCTTTTGGAGTTGAGAGAAACTCTTCTTGGGTTTGGTGTGTGAAGTACGGATAGGGGTGAAAAATCGAGCGGATCAGATCAAAATTAGCACTTTAGAAAAAAATTCTGATTTATTTTCCTAAGTGAAAACTCAATTTCAATTTCGTTCCAAAAATAAAAAAAAAAATTATAATGGGAACAACTTATATTCCAAAATTTAAAAGAGCTTCCATTTCCTATTCACCTATAACATAACAGACATTATAAGATACATTTGCATAAAATTTTATTTTTTTTCAAAAAAAAAAAGAAAGAAAGAACAAATGATTAATTTATAAGTGAAATTTCGAAAAATCCGGATTTCAGAAACTAAAATCAGATCAAAAATTGCAAGTTTCGGAATTCGGATTGAAAATATTGTTCCCAAAATCAAAGGTATCCAGATCAAAATCGGCGGCATTCAGAAATTCCGTTCCAATTTCCATTCCTAATTGAGATGCGCCGTAGCATTTAAAAAAAAAAAACAAAAAAATTGCAATGAAAAAAACAACTACCATGAACATTCCAAAACCTGGGTCCAAATAGCAAGCCATACAATATATATACATTCAAATAGTAACATAGTTTTTTATTTTACAGCCTGTGACAGTTCCACCGTACCTTGACAAATAAACACACACAAGATATATTCTATTGACAATATAATTTCACCACTAATCATTTTCCCCATACGATCAAATTCTGAACACGTCAGTTTGAAAACGCTCATCGTACATATTCCAATGACCGTACCTTTCTGCATTATAAACGGACCTCGGTATATAAAAGTTGGGTTTCTTGATAGTTTTCAATTTCTTCAAACTCAGCACAGCCTTGGCGATATCTCTACTAGTCACATTCGCACATCCCGATAAATCCAAATGCTCCAAATTCTGACACCCTTCGGAAATTAGGGCGAGCCCTTTAGCCGTCATTTTGGAGAAGCAAAGTTCGAGATGAAGAAGTCGAGGCATAAATTTCGAGATGGCAGCAGCTTCAGAATCCCCATTTTGAGGGCAGGCGTTGAGGTACTCGTTTGGGACGGTTCCTATATGTTGCGAAGGATCCAACCAGTTCAATAAGTTCCGTTTAAGTTTACGAAGATTCAGACAATTAGATCCTATGACAATCAAAGATTTGTGGGATATTTCGTAGCAGTAGCTTATGTCAAGCTCCTTAATTTTGGGGCATCTGTGTGCTATTTCGTCCATAGTTGCATCGGTTACGTTAGGAGAGCTCTTGATAGAAAGAACTTCAAGATTCGGGCACCTGAAAAGAGAGAGACGTACGCAATTAAGTCATAGATTCTTTTAAAAAAATGTAACGATCCCATGTCTGAATCATAGGTTACTAACTTATATCAAGAAATTGATCGTCGAAATTGCGTCACAGAATATGCTAGATCGACTTATATAGGTAGATAAATAATCTATTTCTTCAAGGTCGTTCCAAGGTTCGATAATGTTTTACAAATTTATAGTCCAACGTAACGTACGGCCAAACATATGTCTGTTCAAGAAATACGTTTCACTAACTAAAAATACTTACGAAACTGGAATCGGATGTCAATGAAAATAACTAGAACACGCATCGTCTAACATTATCTCCATTCCTTCGTTTCGGAAATAAACTACCAACTTGAATAAAGACAGTACACACGACATGAGAACTACTACAGTAAGTCCGATTACAACTTATGCCCTTCATCGATGCACCACCTCATATCGACAAATTAGAGAAAATTTAAGAAATACTCAAATCAATTTTGAGTACTTAAACCAACAATTGACAAAAACACAAAAATCAATTTTAATGTTATCCACATGAAAAAAAGGAATCATCCACAACCATATATACGCAGACGAAATCAAGCGCAATCAATTCAACCAAAACTAGAAAGAAATAAAGAAAAAAAAACCCCTATCAATAAAAGATAAAATCAATCAATCAATTCAAATAATTTCGCAGCACATACAATTCCAGCAAAAAAAAAAAAAAAACATACATTTTCGCAACCAACGAGAGCGATCGATCGGAGCAGTGCCTGAGGCGGATCTGAGAGAGGCAGCCTGCACTCGAAACGACGACGGATCGGAGCATATTATCGATCCTGCGCTCGAACTCGGGATTCCAGAATCGGGGCAACTCACCGGCGGAATCGAAGTGGTAATCGAGGTCAATCACCGAGTTGAGGCACGGATCCTGGCAGACTTGATTCCAAGCCTTGCACACGCGCATAGCGCCTCGCCATCGTTCCTCGAAGGAAAGGCGGGAGAAGATGTTGACGAGGCACTCGTTGGTTAGCTCCGCCCAGTCGGCGGCGCCGGAGCCGGCGTCGGCGGTGGCGAGCCGACCTGACTTGGTGGCGTTGATTTGACTTCGTTTCTCGTCATCCATTTCTGTAACGAAGCGGATGGGGATTTGTTGGGACTAATTTGTTTACGGTTGAAACTCCAGACTTGTACAAATCCGAGGGTATTATGGTAAAAGCCCACATCATATCTCTCTAGTCAATTGTTTATCCCTACGAGTACGGACATAGAAACGGTGATTTGGCGGAACGAGAAAACCGACATGACAAACGTGTAAATATTAAAATTATAGGAGTATTATTTATAAATATGCTATATAAACATAAATAAGTTTTTATTTATATAAAAATTATTTTTTATATATTTTCATACAAACATATTGAAAATCATTTTTACAGGTAATTATCAATTTGCAATTGATCATTAAATCGTATAAATAATTAGGAAATCAACAAAAATATTTGAAATTTTGTTATTCAAACATGTATTTAATCTTTTAGAAATTGCAAAATGACTCATAAGGTGTCCACCAAGTGTCTGAAATACAGAAACGTCAAGAAGTTGAAGTTTCCGTGCGACATAGAACTTTATCCTTTTCTATATTTAATGAACCGTAACGGTGGATCATTTACAATTAGCACCCAAAATAAACCGACCTACTTTTATTTAGTATTTTGGCCTGAATTCCGTTCTTCCTCGATACTCAATCGAATACTCTTTTTGACCGATTGAATCCATTTCTAAAGTCCCATATTTAGTAATGCCCGAACTCTTTCTCGTGTAACGAGGATCGTCGAAATAAGCGAGACTACTACTTCTACGGATATTGATGGGATTTCAACCGAGATACCTGAAGGGGGCATTAGTTTGTTCTCGCGTTCTTGAATCGATTGAAGTGGAATGATGAATCATTCAACATGTGATTTATATTTTACTGTTTATTTGAAATCTAGAAGTAATAATTAGCTCAGCAAAGCATGAACTAATAATGAAAATCCTAATAAAAAAAAAAGTTACAAGTTTTAAGCTATGCAGCAGCAACAGTGTCACTTCAATTTGTTATCGTATCTGCGTGTCGAACACTCTTGCACATCTGTAGTGATCTAAAAAAAATTGAAACATATTTGGTTAGAAAAAATCAAACTATTTGGACCTCATCATCGTATTTCGTGTATCTGTGTGTATTTGGTGTGTATAGAGTGTGTATAGAATGTGTGTTCTTGATGTTGTGTGTGTATATTTCCATGTGTGGTTCTTTTGTAATCTCCCCCTTCCCTCATTCCTTATCTTCTTATTACTACTAACCCTAGAAACAAGAGAGTGGAGAGTGGGCCGTTTTTGTTGGGCCCAAACACGTGGCTGGTGGGCTTGGGTTTGAAAGGTAAAAGGGGTTGATTGGTAAGCCTATTGGGCTCGGGCAAAATAGCCCGGATCATCTACTCCCTTACTATGCATCGGTGAAGAATAGACAAAGACGAGGTATAGTACAAATGTTGTGATACGTATCTTTCTGTTTTAGAAGGACTTGAAATTTTTTACAGGATTCTGACTCCTTCTCCTTATCTACTCCCCAGCTCGTCGCGAGGAATGCGAAGTCCATTAATCGTGGCGAACTCATAGTTCGGAATGCTTGCGTTTGTTTTTGTTTTTTTTTTTTTCGAGGTCGATTCCGACCCCGATTTTTAGCCCGGGCGGTCGATACCGACCGCATTCTTCCACTTTCGTGCGAGGTCGATACCGACCTCGGCTTGAGCCAGTGCGATCGATATTGATCGCACTCTTCTATCATTGGTGCGAGGTCGATTCCGACCTCGGCTTTTCGTAACGCGACCGATACCGGCCGCGGTCCTCGTTTCCGTGCGAGGTCGATTCCGACCTCGGCTTTTCGGTAACACGGCCTATACCGGCCGCGGTCTTCGTTTTCATGCGAGATCGATTCCGACCTCGGCTTTTCGGTAACGCGGCCGATGCCGGCCGCGGTCTTCGTCGTCATGCGAGGTCGACCCCATCTTTTCGGTAACGCGGCCGATGCCGGCCGCGGTCTTCACTTTCATGCGCGCTGATCTGACCTCGCAATAATACCATTCACCAAGAAGACACGTATATGTATATATTTGAGAATTAGGACTTCCCCATATAATTTATAGATACAAATATTACCTCGGAAGGATATTAGAAGAGATTCGAGCTTTCATGGATTCATGCTCGAGATGGAGATGCGAGCTTCATAAACCGATGCAAGATAGGAGAGAACTAGGTATTTGAAAGAATTTATGGTCCCGAATTCGTATTATACAGAGATGTTATCTGAAGTGTTGTGACACTTGAGACAACATACAGCGGAAATATAAAGATTGAAAGACAGTACTCAGAATTAAAAAATGTTCACAAGTAAAGACTTGTGAACTTGCCCTTTACAGGACGGAAAAATATATTAAAATCAGTATTCCAAGAATACAAACAGAAGAGGTGCGAAAACTTCTTCCTTATGAATGAATCTTTTTCAAGATCATTCTTACAATCAAATCTAGATACTAAAAGAAAAATATTAAAAATTCTAGATTTCAAAGAATGTACTCGTGAGGAGTACGTAAAGAAATTATGAATGAATCACTATCTTGATCATTCTTACAACCAAGTCTAGAAACATATATACTAAACAATCTAGACTACAAAGAATGTACTTATGAGAAGTACGTAAAGAATGTACTCATGAGGAGTACGTAAAGAATGTACTCATGAGGAGTACAAACGACCGATTCTAAAACCACTCTAAAACACTCGTGAATATTCTTCAGCCCTCGGTTTTTATTTCGTAGAATCGATTATCTTCCTTGAGTATTGAAGTCGGTATTTATAGGCATTCCAAGCATCCACTCCTCAGCCCATGATCTGCAAGAAAACCAACTACAAGAGCACTCAAGAACATGGGTTAGTGGGTTAGTGGGTTAGTTTAAGGAGTTAGAATAATATTCACAATTAAACCCACTTAAGCACTACTTAGCCCACTAAGCACTATACTTAACCCACTAAGCACTATTTATTCCATAACTAAAATTTAGTTAGAAAATAAGAAAGTTAAAAATAACATGTGGAAATAATCCACGTAATTCAAACTCCCCCTTTTTAACTTTCTGATCAAAACTAAATTTTAGCTTAACTCCCCCTGAGTCATTGCTTGAACTCCCCCTGAATATGACAACCAATATAGCAAATAACAAAAATAGCGCAATCCAAAGTCTCCTCAGTATCAGCTGCTGTTCCTCCATCACTAGTACTGGATCCACTACTTTCCTCTGCTCCTTCAGCTTCACCCTCCCTGCTTCAATCTTCATGACTAGCTTTTTCTCCCCCTTTTTGATCAGAAAGATCTCTCTGAAGTATTTCCACCATGCACTGATGATAGGTGACCTGAACTAGGGAGTGAGTAAGCTATTTTAACAAAATAAATCTCGAGAAACAGAAATAAGGATGTCAGGAGTGTTGTCAACATGAGGAGCAACACCTTCAGTACCAAGATTATTTTGACCTGATTCAGTTGAGAGAAAAATTATCTCCATTCCAGGGAAGATCTTAAAATTTTGAGAAAAAAGAATGGAGTAGATGAGAGAGGGATTTAAAACAATTGCCAAAAAGAGTTTTACAAACTTCAGTAAAATCACCATAATTATCCTCATCAATCACAGTAGGAGTTTGTAAATGAGAGTTGATAATTTTGTGAAAAAGAGAAAAATGATTCGCACAAAAACTTTTCCAAAGTTTGGAGAATTTTTCTTTTAAAAAATTTGTAAATTGGCATAAACATTCCTTCACAACAGAAGGATCACAAGGACAGACAACCTCAACTAGACTAAGGATTTTTCTTTGGTCAAGAAATGCAGTGATCCTATGTCTATCAAACTCATCCTTGGAAATTTTCTTTTCCTCATTGAATTGACAATTCATGATTTGAGGACTCAAATTTGAATCAGATTCAAAATAAAAAAATAGGACTGAAGGCATTGTTTACCGCAAACGGAGTTGACAAATCCTTCCCATCCAAGTCTAGCTCTTCTTCCTCAGAGGATTCCTCTTCTTCTGAGTCTTCAAGTTCGTCTGGGATGGATGCTGGCTCAGGTGATGCAACAGGTGGGACAACATCTTCTTCCATCAACTGTCATCACTTTTCTCTTTCTCTTCAACCTGGGAAGGTGGTGCATCCACTTGAACAGCTGCCTCTGCCAGAGTTTCCAGAGGATCTTCATTTGGAGCTGAGGGTGTAGGAAGTGAGGTTTCTTCTGTGGTGGCAAAGTCCTCGGCATCAGCAGTGGTGATATCTACTTGCTCAGCAAAGGACATCTCAGAAAAGTCTGGCATTTCCTCATCTTGATAACGATCAGCATCCTCAGCAACATTTTGAGAAGCATTGTCTGAGACAGTAGGTGCAGCAGCATTTTCAGGAACATGTGCAGCAACATCTTCGGAAACAGGATGTTGAGAGGGAATTGCTGCCATGTTGGACTGAAATGTCTCCCCCTGAGTTGATGCTGGTGGAGGTGAGTCTTTGGAAGATGACTCAGTGGAGCTTGAGGAGAGAGCTTGGGCTTGGTTCTGCAAAAGTAGGATCTCCTTCTTCGTCATCAGTTTCTTCCTCAACCAAATGAAAGCCTCTTGGTGGGTTTGGCCTAACTGTAGTGCGACCGACTCTGCCGCTTCTTCTTCCACCTCTGCCGCCTCTGCTGGGAGAATGTCCTCCGATCCCCTCCGGCATTGTGATCCAGTAGCATTCAGATCTGGGAAGGGATTCATGCACTTAGACCGGCAAGTAGGAAAACTTCCTAGAGTGGAAGAGGGACCCAGGTTCTGAAAAACGTCTGGGTCAATCGGATTCAGCTCGTCGCCGGGCCCAATGAAGCTGGTCGGCATGGCTTCAAGGTTGACAGGATGAACGATGATGGCTAGATTAGGGTCTGCTGGTTCAGGTGCTGCAGCATCCTTGTGCACATCATCAACGGTTGGAAGAAGATTTCTAGGAGGAGATGCCATGATACAGTAGATAAAAAATTGCTTCTTGTGCTTTTGATTTTTGAGTGTGAATTTTCGAAAAAAAAAGAAGCACGAAACTTATAAGCCCTAATTTTTCTTGAAAAAAAAAAAAAAAAAAAATTGAAGTGGAGAAGGTGAAGAAGTGGTGTGCGTTTTTCTTGGAGAAAGTGTGATTAAGGAGAATAAAAGGTCTATGTGGC